ACTTATTCATACTTCTTAAATCTTAAGTATATCACATTCAGTTAATTTTCTCAATTTGCATATATATATATATATATATATATATATATATATATCTATGTTCACAGTTATTGAACATATATACAAAAGAGTTATATAAAGATGGAGAATAGATTGAATATATATGTACATAAGAGGGTACGTGATGGTCTAATTGTTTAATGTACATATTAATAGAAACTCAACACTCATATTAAATCCAAGAAATAAAAAGATATTGGGGTCATCGGTGTTGGGTCGGGTTGGGTTCAAATAAAAGTAACCCAATACCAACCCAATACCGACAGTTTGAAGATTTTACAACTCGATTAGACATTAGGTTGGGTTGGTCGGGTTTTTGAGCACCCGTAGACAGAAGTGCAATGGGTATCACGTCTATATGCTTAAGATTTGATGGATTCAACTCCAATAATCCACCAAGTATGGTTACCTTTACTTTTCTTCCTAACTCCAAAATAAGAAATCACCATGCATGTGTGTGTTTATATATGAACGATCTCCATCACCCAGTAGAATTTTCATATAGCATTTCTAAGGCCTTCCATTTTAGAAACCTGTGGCCGATCTAAAAAACAATCTCCCTGGCATTCATGCATCATGTATATACCAATGATCCCACAAGCAAGAGGAACATGTATACTGCATAATTTGTCCAGGTAGTTTATTCCAAAGAATGACCATGGATGCATGTCCTATTATGTCACTCCCAAACTCTAAGTAGTCTTGGGACTCCCATAATCCCCACATGGTCATTTGATAACACATATCAACATGGAATGTTCATGAGGTGCAGTCTTAACTGGATCAAATACTGTCCGTTTTCACACATAATATATCTCATCTACTTCTTTTTCAACAATCAAAAAAATAATTCACTGGCATCTGTTTTCACACATAACATAATATATCTCATCCACTTCTTTTTAAAACAATCAAAAAATAATAATTCACTGGCATCTGTAAAGGGATTTGAATTGATAGTGGTGTCTCTAAAGAGACTTTAGCTCACAATCTAAGGGTTATAGAGATCCATTATTACCATTTGTCTAAGGACCACTTAATATGCCTCCTCAGTCCACTATCATGCCTATTATATGGAAAACAAATATTAATTTCAAGAGTTCATTTCAGTTGTCTGGGTAGGCTAAGAACGAAGCCTACTAGAAAGTTCAAGAAGTAACATAGCCTAGGCATCCAATATGAACAACACCATTATCACAATTATCTTAATTCGAACTCCTTGTATATTCTGCTTTCTTAGATATCGCTTCACTACTTCATGTCAATCTTGACCCGCCCCTACATCTCTCCAGTTGGTGCAAGTCTGCTATTTTAACTGGTGCATCGAAATATCTTCATTAGATGTGAACTGCAGTCTTTTTGTCCTGAACAATTACTGACTTTTTCTCATCCACCATTTATCCCTTTATCTGCCTGGTTTATACAAAGAGTTCTATTATGGGGAGGAATAAGTACTGGAATAACGTTGTTTGTTTTTGTTGGATATCTTCATCTGCCAATATGTGTAATAAGTTTGAGAAGTGTAATTTGCATTGGTTAAGCTTCTGGTCATTCAAGTTCATTCCTGCTTCTGAATAGTAAACCACATTGATCATCAATATGTTAGTAAAAGCTTAAGCCGGCAGATAGAGAGGACATTATTTATAGCAAGCTTCTACGTCTCCTGATACATACATATGTAGAAGTAAAATTAGGTTAAAAGAGAGACCCATAAGCATTTTTGACGCTAAATAGTAAGCTACATCAAGTGCCACATAGGCACTTGAACTTGAGGCATAGCTAATGACCACCTAGGATCAAGAAACTAAAAGGGTGTGATAATTTATGTAAATAAGTGAAGTTGATCACTCCCAACCATGAATTAACAATGCTGAAAATCTGGTTTGGTCCTAAATCAGGCAACGTTCTGTTGATGAAGCAATTTTCATTGGATACTCTAAGAACTCTGCTGCATATCGGGTCGACCACGTGTATGGAAGATTCCTTCGAAATTAAAGTATTAATGGAACCTTTTCCCATAAAGCGAGGATGATTCGACCAGCGAATGAAGTGGGTCAACTTTTTGTCTATAATAAAAGGAGAAGGATTGGGAATGAGAGTTTTCATTCGATGAAGCAGTTGATTTGGCTTCTAGACAAAACGGTTCAGAACCCGTGCTTACAAATAATCTTCCGCTACATTCAAATCCAGATGAAGCTTCGACTTCTAAAACTAATATTTTTGAACTGGATTTGTTAAAAAAAAATTTCCCAGAATTTTCTGAATTTAGGTATGATCTTATCGATATTTTCCGGTTTTTAAGAACTTTTTATGTGGTTTCTTTGTGAGTAGGGGTGTGCATCGGGCCCGTGGGAAAAAATAAAAAAACCAATCGGATTTTGGATATGGAAATGAATCCCCAATTTTTTTTTATTTGAGGAACTAAAATGGGTGAAAAGGATATTTAGAGACTAAGAATAGGAAAACGCCAAGTCTTATTTATAAGGATGATAACAAGAATGAGAAGTCATGTTTAAAAGAAGGGTGAGATTTCTCACAATTTTTATTTGCTAGGAAAGGTTGGGAGAGCTTGATGTTTCATTTGTCAACACTAATAGGAGTATTGTGCAAGGCATTAGAAGACTAGAAACAGAGGGAGGTTTGAAGAAGATAGGAGGCCAAGAATGTGAAAATAGGCCTATTAAGGTAGTTCATCCTGAAATTATTTATTAAGGTTTGGAGACATCTGAAAGGCAGATCTCTTGCTCATCAGGTTGTTATACAATATCCTTTGTGCCAGTCGGATGAGTGGTTTGTTTTGTTGTCCCACTTTCATAGAGAATATGGGCGATGTTCAAAACTATGCCACCTCTATTCCATATAAGACAGAATAAACACTAGCAGCATGCCCCCTTTAGAAGACGTCATCCACTCATATAAAGGTTCATGAGCTGTTTTTGCAATAGATTAAGGAAATGAATTCTTATGCAGAAAGTATGAGTTTTTTACTTGGATGGACTTAGATGTTCCTAATGTTACATGCTTAAACATAGTGTTATGTAGCAGACGCGGTACTAAGTTCAATAGGTAAATTATGGATATTTTTTATTGTTATAAGGAGAGGATGTTAATCACAGGATAAGTATGGGGTTGAAGTAGGCATGGCAACGGGGCGGTGATGGGGCGAGTTTTCTAATCCCCGGCCCCGGCCCCGGCCCCGGTTTCTATGAACGGCCCCCGGCCCTGGTCCCCGGCGGGTACGGGGATTAATATCCTGTCCCCGGTTTATTTTTTGGTCAAACCCGATCCTCGTCCCTGGTCAAGACCTGATTTTAGAAAATAAATAATATCTATACTGTATTATAAAGCATTTGACAAAAACTCTTAAAGACCATTTTTTATGCACGAAGTACTGTTTATTGATGCATA